CGGAAGGCCTGCGATCGGACACCGAGGTTGCTTTGTTTCTTCTCGATAGGTGAGTAACACCGTGTCTGCGCCGCAAACAAAAAGTCTGTCTAGTACACTGGACGCGACAAAGTGACCGTTAGGAATAAATTACATTTTAAAATATATTCAAATAGAAAACAGTTGTTTTAAATTGTAATAATATTTCACAATTTTATTGTACCATTTTTTTTATCAAATAAATGCAACCTTGGTGAGCATAAGAGACGACAGAAAAAAAACCTAAAAATCTTACCAATGCCAAACTTTGAACATAGTGTATGCTATTTTTGACTTCTGACAATAAAGTGTCCTGACAAACAAAACAAAACAAATCAAAACAAAACGGCAATTCTTCATTTGCATTTGATTAATTGTCAACAAATAAGTTGCCTATAGCAACCAAATAGCTAATTATGATGATGCTGTGCATTGCTAGGATATGTTTTGCAGGTTTACAATGATTTTTCCTGTTTTGGTAAAAAAAAAAAATAATAATAATTTATTATCATATAAAGTAGAAATTTTAAATCATTTATGATTCAAAAAGTACATTTAAGTACATTTATTATTACCTCTCTGGGTGCCGCCATATTTGTGTGGCATCATACATGTTTGAAGTTTTTTTTCCAAGTTGGAAGTAAATTCCCATTTTCCGAATTGAATGGAATGCAGCATGAAACCTAGAGAAAGAGTCTGATGACTGGTAAACTGGATGTAGATGTCAGTGTATAGAAAATTTAAATAATTAAATACATTTGTGTATGAACACTGCTGGTAACAGCAAGAACATTAAAGTTCACCCAGAAATTAAAATGTTCATCATTTACTCACTTTCATGTCATTTCCAAACCATGTATGACTTACATTCTTCTGTGGAACACAAAATAATATATTTGAAATTTATAAATATGTCCCAACTTTTTTGGAATTGGGGTTGTAATTTTTGGCTGAAATATATCTTTTAAGAACAAGTTGAATTGGAAACTAACCTTTCTGCCATTTGTAAGGAACGAACCCACATCTCAAGAAGGCATCCATCTGCAATCTGTAAATTACAGTTTTCTTTAGCACAGATATTGATCCTATTGAACTAATATATAGAAATAAATGAACTCAAAACCATCATTAAAGTTCACCGCAAGCAGCATATGATTCTTTATTTGTCACAAATACAGAAATAATCACTTTCAGATTGATTTAGTTCTGTCTTTCAAAAGCGCACAGTTAAAAACACTTGATATCACGCATCCAACGAGTCCCACTTGTGCCAAATAAATTGCCTGAGTCTTAACGAGGCAAATGTTAATAGGAGATTAATTAGCAGTAATTGCAGAAATTCCCCACAATCCCCCAGAGGGGGGCCCAATCTGTTCATCAGCCCAAGTAGTTCATTATTCCATGCAATGTTCTCCCAAAAATACAACTTTCCACCTTTGACCTCCACAACACAGGTGGGGCTGTTGCACCAGGTGGGAACTGACAAAAAGCTGCTCATCTATGACCAGCTTCCCTCAACTGTTTGTTATTGCGAAAGACTGAGGATAGCGTTTCTTTATCATTTTAGTTATTAATAGCAAAGCAAGATCTGATTCACAGTGTAATCGGTTTCTGAAGAACATTGAATTTGGATCTGTTTTCAGAGATAAACTAGATTTGATTCTTATTTGATTTCACTTTAATTATATTTTTATTTAGCAATAAGGATGCATTAAATTGATTAAAAGTGGCAATAGAGACATAATGTTACAAAAGATTTCTGTTTCAAACACATGCTGCTCTTTTGAACTTTCTGTTCATCAGAGAATCCTGAAAAAAATGCATCTGTTTCAGTAAAAATATGAACCACCACAACTGTTTTCAACACTGATAATAATAAGAAATGTTTCTTGAGCAGCAAATCAGCATATTAGAATGATTTCTGAAGGATCACGTGACACTGAAGACTGGAGTAATGATGCTGAAAATTCAACTTTGCATTAGAATACATTTTAAAATATATTTTATATATTAAAAAAAAAATGTTTTTATAAAATATTTTTCTTTTATTTTTTAAATATAAAACCACTATAAATGAGATAAAAAAGACTTAATTCTTATTTGATAGTTTCATTTCCCTGTTTGTTTGTTTTTTCTTGTAATATGACAGCTTTATTCTGTAATATATCTGCTCAGGTGTTGAAATATTGCTGCACATCTCCAAGAACAATAGAAGTGCTCTTCAACGCATACGACCGCCTCAAAATCACTGAAGCCTGGGTAGAATCTGTACCTCCTGAGGTGTTTCAGGTCAGACGATGTCAAGCTTTTGACTTTTGTCTTAAATATAATGTAATAAATATTTAAGTTAACACTAAAAAGCAAGTTTTATTAAAATAAAAATCACCTAAAGAATTCAAAATATTCTTCTCACTGTACCACATAATATATGTTAAGTATATTGTTTTCGCACAGAAACACCGGGAATTCTACGAATCCCTGTTTGCACTGATGCAGACTCCTCGATCTCTACAGCATCTGGCTCGTCACAGACTCCGAACATTTCTGGAAGGTCGCTTGCACAACGTGATCCCTAAACTGAGTCTACCAACCTTTCTTAAAAATTACCTAATGCTGGCATTCAGAGACTATATGCACTGACAGAGACCACAAACCTGACCCTGTACAACACAGAGTACAGTATAAGCATGCAGTGATTGAGTTTTGTACTATAAAGTCATTGAGTTTTGTTTTATTCTGTGTGATTCTGAATGATTTGTGTTGGAAAACTGTCCTGTCTTTACCGAAGATGAATGATACAATGTTTGAAGTTTTTTTTCCAAGTTGGAAGTAAATTCCCATTTTCCGAATTGAATGGAATGCAGCATGAAACCTAGAGAAAGAGTCCAGTGATGACTGGTAAACTGGATGTAGATGTCAGTGTATAGACAATTTAAATAATGAAATAGATTTGTGTATGAACACTGCTGGTAACAGCAAAAACATTAAAGTTCACCCAGAAATTAAAATGTTCATCATTTACTCACTTTCATGTCATTTCCAAACCATGTATGATTTACATTCTTCTGTGGAACACAAAATAATATATTTGAAATTTATAAATAAATGTATAAAAATGTTTAAAAAATAATATTTTTGTGTCTGTACAATGAATCAATGTTGTTTGCACCCTATATTGACTTCCAAAATATCTACTTTTATGTTCCACATAAGAAAGAAAGTCATGGAATGACATGAGAGTGAGTAAATGATGACAGAAATTATTTTTGGCTGAAATATATCTTTTAAGAACAAGTTGAATTGGAAACTAACCTTTCTGCCATTTGTAAGGAACGAACCCACATCTCAAGAAGATCTGACAGATTTGTGTTGGAAAACTGTCCTGTCTTTACCGAAGAATTTTATAGGGAATCAATAAATGGAGGTGATGCTTATAATGCCAATCTGTGAGTGAGATTTTTTATGTAAAATGTCAAATTTATTATTACTGAAATCTATCATAATGCATTTGGAAAGAGGATAAATGCCATTTGTAAGGAACGAACCCACATCTCAAGAAGATCTGACAGATTTGTGTTGGAAAACTGTCCTGTCTTTACCGAAGAAGTTTATAGGGAATCAATAAATGGAGGTGATGCTTATAATGCCAATCTGTGAGCGAGATTTTTTATGTAAAATGTAAAATGTATTATTACTGAAATCTATCATAATGCATTTGGAAAGAGGATAAAAGGATGTTTATGAAGAATAAAACAGGAGGAATCTGTATATAAAGTTCATATAGCCTATCCAGTCAGTGCAACACACATTCATTATTACATTAACCACCACACCGGGGCGCCATGGAGCTCAAGTGGAATCTGAATTCCTATTGAAAGTTCTCAATCAAATCACTGATAAGATTCCATGCAAAATTGAATGGAAAGTATTTAAAAGTAACATCCCGAATAATTTAATGTTTTCATTTTCTTGTAAAATAAAATGTTTAAAATGTATTTTTACTGCTGTAACAAATTAATTGTAGCTAATTTACTTAAGGATTAATATATGCACTACATTCAAATCATACTGGTTAGTGGGCCAGCTACAAATGCATTTAAGTGTTTTCCAGTAAATATGTTCAAACACTGATCTAAATTATATAAAAAGCATTCTTCAGGAAGGCAAGGTTAGATTATTCTATTGTATTTTATCAAATTCTCCATTTTTAAGTGCTTGGTTTGATTGATTTGCTTGTCTACACTGAGGTTTTCCTTACAATTTCCCATTATCCTTTTTTACGTCATATTTTAAATTAACAGAGGACAAAAGAAAACTTGCTGAAACATTACAATTCAGTGATTTGACATTCATATTCAACATGTTTAAGGTCATGAGGGGTTTGTCTCTGTCAATTAATGCTGATTTAGATGTAGAAGACAATTTAGATCATGAACATGATTTATATGGATTATTATGAAAACTACTGATTACATGTTAAGCTCCACAAGTATGCATCACGTCCATTTTTGTTACAGGCCATTATGAAGTCTGAGAGAGGAGAGACATCCTCTAGCCACTCGGAGATATGTGGACATATTATGTGATTATGATTATGTTATGAAGGAGCATGCACTTGAATGGTAACCAGAAGTAAAGGCGGAGCGCAGAATGATGGGGTACAATGTGAGGGCCTCGTGTTTAATGATCCGGTCAGCTTGACCCGTTAAAAAACACCAATCCCAACAATGCAATGAACATATGAGTAAAAGGATTTACCAGAACAATTATGAATAATAATAATTTTGGTTGAATTGTATTAACATATTTATTAATAATGATGCTTATTGTTATTATTATTATCAGGTTGGATGCTGGTGAAGTGCACTTTTGATAATTTACTGCTTTTTTAAAAAATGATTCAAATGTCAACTTTATGCATATTCTGACCTACTTTACCTGTATTATCCTCACACACAGATCACTGCAATCATAGCTCATTTTAGCAATAAAAAATGTTTTCCTCTATTATGCTGCACTATTTTGATATAAAGTTATTAATTGCGCGTCAAAGATAGAGCCTTGGTTTGTGATTTCTGTCTTCATGTGTAGTAGTACATGTTGCGAAGAACAAAGGTGCAAAGCAATTGTCTACGAGCAGATCTTTGATAAAAGTCTCATATACGATGACCAGGAGGAGGGGGGCTCTGATTGTATCCCATTCAGTAGCGTGAGAGAGAGAGAGGGAGAGAGAACGCTGTCTGGTTTCAATAGATCAAAGAGCACCGCTCCTGAATGGAGTCATTTGCAATTATACGAATAATTAGCATCTGTGGGTCCTCCATCGCTAATCAGAGTCGGAGGTGATGTGTTTATGTCCTCGCGCAATCAGACGGCCAGTTGGAGAGCTCGCGCCCCGCAGGACTCAATAGCGCCTAATCATCATCAGAAGTGAATTGGCATTTAAACGGTAAAATGATCTCCGATTAAATTAATGCTTAGCGGGGAAAGAGAAACCGCATAGAGGGTTCAATTTTAGACCCCTTTTTTGTGTTTTCTTTTATTATTTTTCTTCTAAAATCGAAATTATATTCTCAACTATTAAAGGACAGTAGGTTACTTTTTCTCTTAAAGTCTTGTCCTTCTTAATTTTCAGTGTAACGCTACTTAACAACTTGTCAAATTGTCTGTCATTTTCCACCAAGGATCTTTCCTCTGAATATCTGAAGCTCTTTTTTTTTGTCTGGATCTTTAAAAATACATTAAAATGGATTTTATACAATGACTTGAACATCTGTTGTGATTAACACGTTTTCAATTTATGAACTGCAGTCATTTTGGTACGGTTCAGAGTTTGAAAAAAAAGAAAAATGTCTCTTTAAAAGGCTGAATTACCCCCCGACCGCGTGTCAACATCATTAAATTGTTCAAAAATACATTTTTAAATAAAAAAGCAGGTTATGTTGAGGTCAAATTAAGAAACTTCTTGTTATTCATGACCAGTGCGCGAATTATTCAGTGACTTTCAGTCAGTAATTTACTGGATGTAATCTGTTGACAACGTCTCACGGATTTAATCGGTCTTTTCGCCGCCCTAACGTGACGTAAGCCATCTAAACAAAACTTTTTTTGTAATATACTTTCAATATATAGCCAAAATATTGAACAAAGTGATACAAAATGATAGTTGCCTACTTGTTTTGTGGAAGTTCGGCCTGGGTCGTAACGGAAAGCGCTCGCGCTGCCTGCTGTTGCTATGGTTACCCCCTCAGGCGAACGCGATCGCGATTCTTTTCGCGAGTGTAGGCGGCGTATACATTTAGCGAACTTACTGAACTTCTGTGGTTACTGAAAGGTTATTTAAAAACGCGTTTGAAATGTATACAATTCACATTTCCACACAGATGTATAGGCTATTTTACATTTCACATTTTAACCTCCCCCCCAACCACCGTCTGTTTTGACTGACTTTAGGGAGGTTCAAAGTGTAATTAGGAGGGTCAGGCCCTCCCAAAATTCGCACCATATTCGTGACTAAAAATTCATGATATGTAAAAAAAAATGACATTTTGACAAAAATGTAGAAAGTTGTATAAACACTTTTTTTTTTTTTTGAAAAAAGGGTGAAACTAATAGCCTAGCTAGCCTATATAAAAATTGCTTTTCTAAGATCTTGATGTTTCTTCAACTAAATTTAAATATTTCTTATTTTTATCATCTAGAAAACCCATATATAAACAGATGTAGATATTTATAGCCATATTTTGTAATCCCCCCAATTTTATCAGTAAGAGTTCACACAGATCTCTACATTCAAAAGTCATTTCATCAGTGAAATCTCTCTCTTGGGGATAATTGTCGGTCAGATTCACTCTTTCTCCAAACAGAATAGAGAAGACTCTCTCTCACAAGAGGGCCGAAACATCTGCCTCTCCGCCCTCACGACTCCGATGCCATCGGCCTCTGAAAGAATCAACAAAAGAACCGTTGTTATATATCTTCCCTTGAATACAAAGTAATTACTTATCATCAATCAAAATTAATAATAGTTGATTGGGTTGGTGTGGTCAGCGCAGTCCCCTCACATTCGCTTTCCAGAGGAGGGGACTTGACCCACTGGGAAACTACCCCCTCTCTCTAGGCGGCCTAAAAAGTCAGGGACTGAATAAGGAAATGAAGCGTAATTTGAGGAAGATGGATGAGTCTCCAGGGCAACTCCCCCTTCTATCCTCTTGTATTGATGATAACCGAGAGAAAGAGAGAGAGAGAGAGAGCGAGAGTGAGAGAGAGAGAGGGCTGTGCGTGTGTGTGTTTATGTCTCAGTATGTGACAAACAGTAGCTGAGACACTGAGAGCTCCAGACAAAAAACGCATCAGGTCTCAGTCAGTTGTACGGCGAGGACCCTACAGCACCATCAGGATAACCGTGGACCACATTTGGGTGATTTGTCTCAGAAGGCCACTGCACGGGATTTATACGACCAGACCGCGCTCAGTTCACCATGCAGAGACCGAGCGGTGCAGGCACGGCGTTTTCCATTGATTCTTTGATTGGCACTCCACAGCCCCGGCCGGGCCACCTGCTCTACACGGGCTACCCGATGTTTATGCCGTACCGACCGTTTATGATTCCACAAGCCCTGTCTCATTCGTCATTACCGTCGGGCATCCCTCCCTTGGCACCGCTGGCATCGTTCGCGGGGCGCTTGACGAACACTTTTTGCGCGGGGTTGGGGCAGGGGATGCCCTCCATGGTGGCGCTCACCACCACCCTGCCCAGTTTCTCGGACCCTCCAGATAGTTTCTATGCCCCGCAGGAGATGCCGGGACCACGGTTAGGCGCGGACGGGACGGGGATGAACCGGCAGGAGAGCCCGCATGACGAACTCAAGGGCTCTGAACTCCTCAATTTCACGGAAACTTTTCAGGCGGTTGCAGGTGAGCACCGGACAGGAACTCTCACTTTGACAGGTGGTTTGATTACGAGCGCAAAAAGTTCGAACGGCCTTTAATTATTCAAAATACAAGTTCTGTTTAGAACCCAAAGGGTTTTACCTTACAGGCTGATGCCGAAAGTTCCACAACAAACTTTTATTCTCTAGTTCTGTAGGAAACTGCTACTGTTGAGTTAGATATAAACCCATAAACCAATATGCTAACTTTTAATGTAAATGTAAAACGAACATTTTATAAAAATGTTTCTTGATAAGAATGATGCGCTTTTGGTGAACATAATGTGCCGCAAAAATTCATTCAACAACATTTTTCTAACTATGTGGAACTCCATAAAAACTTTATGCATGAACTTTAAGATTGTTGTAGCCTACATTCAGTAAGAAATGTCATGAAACTTGAAAGTTAAGAATAGTAAAAAAAAAATAAAGAAATAAATAGTCGTTTTGTGTGCTGGAATAACAATGCATTTTATCATCTGTCATTGTTCTTATGGAGTTCATAGAATT